TAGGATGTGTTTCCTTAGTTGGCCTAACTGGCTGTCTTCCGTCGTGAGTTCCCCCAATAGATCCGCATCGAGTCTGTTATGGAGGCCTGTGGTGAATGATTTCTTGTTTGTGTTCACTGGAGCTTCTTGTTCTTTCTTCTTTCCAACTTTATCTGCTATCATGTTGACCCTCACTGTCCTTTTCATTCTGTTCGTTCTGAAGTTTGCCAGCATTCGGGCGTAGTGCATCTTGTTCTTGTTTACGATATTGATCCTTTTCCTTTTCCTGCTCTCGGTTATTATCTCCACTGTCTGTCTTGTTTCTGCTCTATTTCTTTCCTCAATCGGGTTTATCGTCTGTTTTATGGATGGCAGGATGAATTTACTCATTTTCCTCTGAAAATTTTGTTTTGTTGAGTTGATTATGAATTTATTTGAGCTGTTGATGTTTAAGTTTAAGGTCGGGGACAATGAAATTTGTATATTTTTGGCTGAATATAACTCCATTGCTTCTGATTGGTTGGATTTTGTTACGACGCCCTCTCGTGGTGAATTGGTTAGATATGGCGTAGTTTAGAATAAATTAAAATTTGACGAATCTGATTGGTTACAATTTTCACCGCATGGCTTTCCGCCCTCTCGCGGTGAGTTGTGCATTTGCATATCTTGTTTTGATTGGTTATTGTTTTTGCCGCATAAATTTCTGATCTGTACTTGAGGGATGTGAATTTGCATATATTGATCTGATTGGATAGTGTCAGTTCCGCATGACGATGCGCCCTCTTGCGGGTGTGTGAACATTTGCATATCTGATTCTGATTGGTTGATACTTGCTCCTTCCGAATCGGATGTTTTGTTACTTTTTGCGGTTCTGCATCGAGGATCTGCTTTGATAAATTCTTTGTACGAGATATCGACGCCCCCTTGCGGTGCTTCGGAAATTGGGTGTTCTCCTACGTTCTCCCTCCCAATTAGTGTAAATTTCTTTGGAATTATCCTGTTTTCCTCTAGGTGGGCCTTGACTAATTGAATTTTTTCAATTTTTTTTGTCGGCGCTGGAGTGTTAATCACCCTACATGCCTCATCAAAGTTTTCGATGGCTTTGACTACAAATTGTTCGTCGTATTTTGATGTAGGTGGTTCCTCAAATTTAGGGCTTCTTGATAATTAATCTGCCATTCCTATTTTAGCTCCTGCGATGTGAGAAATTGTATGTTCGAATGGTAGCATTCTGTCTGCCCATCTTGTCAGTCTGGATTGATATGTTTTAATGCCCCGGTTTTCTGTTAATGCTGTACTATGGCCTTGTGGTCGGTTAATATTTGGAATTGGTTTCCCAATAAATAGTTTCTGAAGAATTCACATGACCATACCACCGCTAGTAGTTCGAGCTCGTCAGTAAATGAATTTTTCTTTGATATCCGCTTTCAATTATGGGCGTAATGGTTCGGTGTGTTGTTGGAGATTGGGTATGAATCTGGACATGTGATTTAAAATACCCAGGAATGATCTCAGTTGTTTCAGAGATTTTGGTGGTTGTAATGCCATTACTGCTTCTATCTTCGAGTGTTTTGGTCTCACTCCTGTCTCATCTATCTCGAATCCCAGCCAGATTAATTTTGTTTTTGAAAATTCGCATTTGCTGAGTTTTAACCCAAATCCTTTTTTGTCTAACCTTGGCAGGACTTTGTCAACTATTTCATTGTGTTCTGTGACTGAACCTTTTGATACTATTAGTATGTCATCTAAGAAACAGAAGACTCCTTGAAATCCTTGGATTGTGTTGTCCATTGCCTTCTGGAATTCCTTTGGCATGTCTGTTAGTCCATAAAATCCGGTTTTGAATCTGAACGTTCCAGTAAATTCCCCGCATACGATGCTGAAGTTGCAGTGTTTGCTCACGGATTTGTCTAATGGGAGTTGACTGAATGCGTATTTTAGATCTAATGACGTAAACCAGACTGCGCCCTCTGTCTTGGTTGTAATTATTTCGGCTGCTGAGTAGACTAGTTCTAATAAATTTGGCATCTGAAATTTATTTTTGAAGATCTGTGAGTTCATTGGTTTTGCGTCCATTGCTAGTTTCACCGTGCCGTCCTTTTTTGCTGTTATGACTACTGGAGCTACAAAGTGATCACTTGTGCATTTATGTGGCCTTCTTTTATGAGTTTCTTAATTTCCGCTCCCACTTTGGTTTGAATATGGATTGGCACTCTTCTGCCTTTTTCCTGAATTGGGATCAATGGTGATTTAAATGACGTGAATACCTTGTGGTTCTTTGAGCGTCCCAATCTATGGAATACGTCATTGTATTTCTTAGTGAATTTGTTCCTCCAAAAGGTCGATTCGACTGATTCATTTTCTTGCTCTTCTGAAATTGCATTTATTGAATTTTTGGGTGGTTTTAGTTGAGTTGTTACTATTCCCAGGTCTGGTTGGATGTCTAAGTCCAATAAACATCTGGTTCTACTCTCGGAAATTAAGAATTTCGCTCCTTGTAGTCTCCATTCATTTGAGTAAACGTCATTTTCTAGTATTTAGAAGAGTTTTATCGATTTGTGGTTGTAATCTACGTACGTTGTGGATAACGGATTCTTATCTAGTGATATGATCTTTGCGTTGGGCTCTTTCTGTAATAGAGTTTCAGCTGTACGTTTGTTTACAAATGATGCTGGGCTTCCAGTGTCGACGGTGGCGCTAAATAAAGAGCCTCTTGATTTTAGCGTTGTTCTTAGACACTTAGTTTTCCCCGTTGCAGAGTTGATTACTTCTAGATTCTTGACTGTTTCCGTTTGTAGTGATGCTACCGAAACTTTTAGGACTGAGTAGTTCTCTTCGCTGTCTGAGTCTATGAAGTTACAGTCCTCTTCTTCGTCTGGATCTGGTTGTTCGACATTGGCCACTTGATTACTGTTGCAGCATTTCGCAAAATGTCCCTTTTTCCCACAGTTTATACATGTTGCTTCTCTGGCTTGGCATTTAGATTTGTGTTCGGGTGTGAATCTTCTTCCACAGAATTAGCATGGTTTAGATTGAGTGTTCGACTGGTCTTGCTGATTTTTGGGTTTGAAATTTCCTTTCGCTAGCCCTCTATTCCTTCTGTTTTGGACATTGTTTTTCGACTGGATGGACATCAGTGGTTCTTGTTTGACCCAAAACTGGTTAGATGAGTTTGTGAAGTTCGCTGAATTGCTCGTTATAGATGGGTTCTGCTTTTGGAGAGTGCTCGCTGTCACGTATCCCTTCTCCTGAAGTAATGCCGATTTGAGAGTATCATCTACTGTGGCTCCTGGTCTAATGCAAAGTTCTCTTTGTATGTCAGAGAATCTCATTTTTGCAATAAAGATGTCGCGAATGACTTCCTTCTCTATCTCCTCTGTCCATCCACATTTTGAAGCTTGTCCTGCTAGGCGGAGGTAAAATGATTCGAGGCTTTCCCTGTCCCCGTGCGGTGCGTTGTAGATTTGCATCCTTTCTATGATATAGTTCTTTTCCCGTTTGAATAGTTGTTCGCAAGCATCATGGAAAAATTTGAATTTTACTGTGTTTAGGTTGGTATGTGCATGTTGTTGAAGGAATCTTTTCTTCCCTTCGTTTCCCAAGGCGAAGAATAACCTTGACTTAATCCTTGCATCTGCTTCGTGAAAATACACATTTGGACTTATTTTGGGTCCCTTCTTTCTTTGTTCTTCGTTCGCTTCGTTTGTTCTCCTGATTGCCGCTTCATTTCTTGCTGTTCTACTGTCCGCTTCTTCTGCCGTTTCTGAATTTGGAATTTGTTCAGGTCTTGATGGGGGTCGTCGTGTACTTCTGCCGGATCTGTAAGTAGAATATTCGGGTCACAATTTTCTTTGAAAGATACGGCGAGGAAAAATTGGCCTATCCACACCTCCCAAGGATAAGGAGGTTCGGCTGACGGTTTACCCCAAAATGAAGGGACACCTAGCAGTTCCGTCCTGTCTTCAGAAGAAGAAACTGCTGGCTGCGCCATGTGATAATCCCTAAATCTTATCTGAAAACTAGATTAATAATACAGTTGAATTAATAGTAAAGTTTAATAAGTAAGTATGGATCAAAGAATAGAAGATAACTATAATCTCTCAATAGTTAACACAGAGTGAGTTTCAGTCTTTAGCACCATCAAGTTGTTAGAACAATCAACGTGATTGACAGGTCTTTAATTTGTGTTATTCAAATGATCTCTAACATTAATAATAATAAGCTATAACGTCCTCTATCTTAGGTGGTCAACTCACTACCACCACATAGAAACTACAGATAAGAAAACTAAAGCATCATCTCTTTGTTTTATACTTAAGAAATAAAGAAAATATCTAAAACCTGGCCAGCAAAACGACCAGCGCAAATTGGCCAATAAACATCTCACGGAAAAAAACTAATCCTAAATCCTGTCCCACCATAGTTAATTTGGCGTATTTTTCAGCCCATCACAACAACAACAAAGAGGATAATTTGACATGCCAAAAACTTCTGCAGAGTTAACTTAAACATAATTAGGCTTGCTGTTAAATTTTGAACTATATCTGTCAAAACTACGGTCAGAATTTTCCTCTGCAGTAATTTTTGGCAAAACAATTTATGTCAAAACTGTAAAAAAATCAAATAGAAAACAAATCACAAGACCGAGTTCAATCAAAATGGTTGCAAGTTACGTGAAAATGTCCAATAAACAAAAAAACTGATAATTTATGATAAAATAAGTGATTAGTTTTATCTTTTTTTAGGTAACACACATTTTAATGTCGTTTGAAGCCAGCCTCTGTTGCAGTATTTTGACAAGAAGATATGAACATAACTTTAAACTCGCACTTTTGGGGTTTTAGCTGTCGAAATTTTTTGAAAAAATTAATATCTTTGACCATATACCTTGAAAATTTCGAGGACAGAGTTATTCTCAAACAGAAATAAAAATAATAGAAGAAAACTGTGAAATCTTTAATAATAGAAGAAAGTGTAAAATCTTTGGGCAAATGCATACGTAGTTTGAGATTAGAGACGACATGGTGATGAGGAAGCAACCGCACTTAAGTCAAAAAGAAAAAGTGTTAACGGTATGCGCCCTGAAGAAGCAGGTGAAAAGCTTAGTTCAATGCTGTATCTTTCCCTCAGATCCGGAGGACAAAAAAACTTTAGACACAAGTCCCTTAAAGTGAAAATTATGTGCATATAATTAGTCTGCATGTCAACTTTCATAACAATTGGACAACGTGACTAATGAATTTAATTGTAAAAATTTGCAAGGGGAGGGGAGAGAAAGTGCCCATAGTCTCCCTTTGGTACCCTCTTTTTGACACCAATTTCTAGTGTATCAACCTCATAATTTTTTCTGTGGGCATTTTAAGGGGGACCCTCAAAATCAATCAAAACTGTTGGAACAAAAAATAGAAAAAAGTTTTTCCAAAATTTTGTCGACAACCCGACAACTCACAAAGCACCCCCCCTCCTCCTCCTCCTTCCCCTAGAAAGATTTCCGAGCACGCCACATTGGGCATCGTACATCTAGGCACATTCAAAACAAACGCCTGTAACCCAGTTTCTGTTATATTCGAATTTGCAAACATGTTAGCGATATCTTCCCTTTTATCAAGTTGTGGGAGAAATGCTTCATTTTACCAGTGAAATAAAATCGAGATGCTGGAAAACTGCTTGGAAAATTTAAAATTTGTTCTCTCGATGATAATATGTTTTTTTGATGTTTCAATCGGCTCAATGAGCACTCGGCTGTTTCAGGAGCTCCGCACTCCGCGCAACCGTGTGATTGTGAGTCTGGCTATTTCCGATTCTCTTCTGGCGCTGTTTCAAGTGGCCGAAACGTTTCTGCGGCCCCTCTATGTCGGCTGGTTCAGCTTAGTCACTGCTATGCCGCAGGTGTTTGTTCTCAACAGTTATCTACACCTACTTCTGCTAGCTGTAGACAGGTCAGTTCAACTAACCCAAAGGTGCGAGAAGCCAAAAATCGATCGGGATTGCCCAGATGAAAACAATTTAATATCCTCCCGCCCCCTCCCCCTCTTTTTCCTCCCAGTTAGACCATGTTAACACCTTTCCATTCCACTCGATTTTAAAATTGCACTGAAATGGCTTATTGTCGCCTGTAAAATCTTCGAATTTGATTGGTTGAAAATTTGAACTTAAAACAAAATAAAAAAAACCCTCTCCACTAAGATCTTTTTTTTGGGCGGGGGTTGTTGACTTGGTCGGATCTACTAAACAATAGCCCCATTTTGTAACTAAAACTGAAATAAAATTAAAGATATATAAGGTGCGGTATACATAATTATCGGTTTCTGAAAAATATTTTTAAAGTTACTGTCGTACAACGAATTTACCAATGTACGAGTACTCTGATAATGATAACCAATTGGTTCTATTCTCCAGGCTAAATATGAAAACAAGGTTTCACGAATAGGTCTATTAATGCTCGCAATAGCGTAAATTGCCGCCATTAAGAAACGTGTTAGACTTGGCTGCTTACAGCTTACCTGGCGCCGCAAAGACATCTGAACATTCAAGGCCGAATATAATTTTTCGGCCAAGTCCTGAATGTTGGGACTGCCTTTTAGGGTTTATGGAGCAGTAATTACATAAATATCATTAACATTATAAATTCAATAAAACAAAATGAACCAATTTTTTTCTATAATTTGAAGTTTTTTCTATGAAAATCATCTCCCCAAACGCCATATAAAAAACAAAGAAATAGATTTCGCTCCCATTAACTAATCAATTATGGTAAATAAGCTTCCTTGAACCAATTTGGAACAACTTCTAAGCTGGATTAAATCTCCGCTTACGCAGTAATAGCGCGAAATACAGTGCTGATTTAAATTATCCGGACAAAACGAACAAAACTTGAATTTTCAAACGCGTTTTTCTCAAATTGGGTTAAGATTAGACAAAAAATGAAGAGAACAAAAACTGCTCAAAATTTTATCAAAATTGAATTGGTGCTATTTTTTCTCCGAAATTCTCAACCAAAATTTTACCCCAAAAATGGGTCAATTTGGCTTTTTTCGATTAATCAAGAATTACACTGAAACCACTATGTCAATTTATGAAAAAACTACATCACAAGAAGTCTCATACACAGCCCAACAAAGTTTAAGAAGGGTTAAATCTCCGAAAGTTTGCGCAAATTGTTTAAAATTTGTTTTTAAACAGAGATTGTGGGTTTTATTTAGTAAAAATCACATTTATTGACTATCAAGAAAAAACTTTTTGTCTTATACTGGTTTTTGGAGGTTTAACCCTTCTTAAAGTTTGTTGGGCTATGTAGGAGGCTTCTTTTAATGTAGTTTTTTTATAAATTAACGAAGTGGTTTCAGTGTAATTCTTGATTAATTGAAAAAAGCCAAACTGACCCATTTTTGGGTTAAAATTTTGGTTGAGAATTTCGGAAAAAACATAGCACTATATTAATTTTGATAAAATTCTAGTCAACTTTTGTTCTCTTCACTTTTTGTCTAATGTTAACCCAATTTGAGAAAAACGCGTTTGAAAATTCAAGTTTTGTTCGTTTTGTCCGGATAATTTAAATCAGCACTGTATATCGCGCGTTAATTATCCCAGTTTGGCCAAAATGGCAATCTTTAAACCCCCATAACATTACGAAAAGTGATCACAGGTGGAAAAAATTTCAAATTTAAGCTCAAGACGACAATAGTTTTTGAATGATGTAAAGTTCGGTCAAAATGGCTAGTTAAAAAGTCAAAATTTGTCTGAAGAAAAAAAAACCCACCCCGACCACAAATATTCCGTTATTTTCGTACCGAAAGCCGGAACAACAACTTAGGACTCGGGTGGGTTTAAACAAGTAACAACATACTTGTGCTCGGGTGGGTTTTTTTTTCTTCAGACAATTTTCGACTTTTTAACTAGCCATTTTTGACGGGATTTTAAGGACGGGGGTTTAAGGATTGCCATTTTGACCAATTTGGGACAATTAACGCGCGATATATTTTGCGCTATTAACGCGTAAGCGGAGATTTAATCCGTCTTAAAATCGTTCCAAATTGGTTGAAAATGCCTTAGTTTTTTGCATAGCGTGTGAAGTGACTAAAAAAAGGAAACATTTTCCTTTCTGTTCGACAAATCTCAAAAGTGCTTGCAATAGTACGACTGCATTGTATATATTCAATTTGACCAAAAGCCCGATTATTGTTCCAACTTTTGATACTAAAGTAACAGAATACTTGTGCTCGGGGTGGGTTTTTTTTTTCTTCAGACAAATTTCGACTTTTTATCTAGCCATTTTTGAAATATTTTTTTATATCATTCGAAAGCTATTGTTGTCCTGAGCTTAAACTTGAAAAAAGCTTCACCGGTGATTATTTTTGTAAAGTTATAGGGGTTTAAAGAATGCCATTCTGGCCAATTTGGGACAATTAACGCTCGATATATTTCGCGCTATTAACACGTAAGCTGGGATTTAATCCATCTTAGAAATCGTTCCAAATGGTTGAAAGAAGCTTATTTGCCATAAGTGATTTGTTAATAGGATTAAAATCTATCACTTTGTACCTAATTTGACGTGTGGCGGGTTGTTTTTACAAAAAAAATCTTAAATTTAAAAAAAAAAATTTTTTACATTTAAATGTTTCTTGTTTTTATTGCTCCATAGACCTTAAAAAGCAGTCGGAACTTTCAGGGCTTCGATCTGATACGAGTATTCTTATTCTCTTTTTCTGTTTTTCCGTTACTTCTGGCAGGCATTGGTGATTGTGCCGATTTTTCTTGTACTTTGTTTGTCTCAACGTTTTTTTCAAAGCAGATAACGTTTTGACCGGATATACTTTTCTGATGTTTGTGCGCCCTTCGGATTTTAATTAGCGCCTTCTTCGAACACCTTTAAAAAATAAGCCTAGCAATTTTTTGTCATTAATTATATGCCGGTATTTCTTTAGGTCATTAGATGCCGGTATTTCTTTAGGCAATTTCAGGAACATATTTGAGCGCTGTTTATTTATCTGAATCGCCGCTCGATTCATTCGAATCTTTTAACATACCCGTGGTAATTTGACTACTCCTTCTAATATATCTCGAGAAACCATTAAGAAAGAAAGAAAATAAATTTAGTTAGCAACCGTTTGTAAAATTGAAGATTCGGAAATAATTGTAATTCTGTATGAGATCACACAAATCCCGCATTCAGACTGAAATTGATGTACAACTGAAGTCGACACCCCGTGCTTCCCAAATGAGGTCACGACCAACCAGTCGCGCAAAAAAGATGGGCGTTCAAAAATGAATTACGCGTTCGAGTCGCGCAAAAATTAGTCGCGTAAAAAAATAGGCGTTCAAAAAATGAAGTACGCGTTCGAATTTGAGGAAAGCTTCGACTTACTGTCGCTCAATGTCCGCAGATCAAAATGACAAACAATCGCAGCAAAAGTCACGGAAACGTGACATAAGCACAGTAACTCGGGTCGAGGTGCTCGACTTATGTTTCGACTTTGATAGTCAAGCAAGTGTAGTTTTGCGACTAAAATTCCGCTGTCGGAAGCATTTTAGTCGCAAAACAAAGTCGAAACCCGATTTTGGTCGAGAAAGTTGAAACGAAAGTAGAGAAAGCCGAAACATACCTGAGTGAGGTCGAGAAAATCGAAAGCCGAGCACAAGGGGGAGATTCGTTACTAGGTGCATAATTCACATATGCTTAACTGTCGCGTCGAATGATTTCATTACACGGTACAGCGGTGGCAATTCGTTCCTCGATACCAAAGTGAGGGAAATAGTTAAACTTGATCCTATTAAGGTCACGATACAAAGTCACGTAGAGTCCAAACTTCAACACATTACGGTCGCAATATAGATCGCACATAGTCGAAATCAGCAAAGAAATTCAGTAGTCGGATTTTTTGCTAGCAGATATGAATTTTTTACAATTTTAAAATGCCTATAGCTTGAATCGCATTTTTTATTACCGGGTTGATCTCCAATTGATAATCATAACTGAATCAGTAAAAACTTATCGAAGAACCTTGATGATGCATCAATGGAAAATCGCATTTAACCATGATTATTGACTTTTCACCGTTATGAAAACATTTTGAAAGGTGATGAAATATCAATGAAGTGCTTTGATAATCAAAATGTTTTCAAAATATATTAATTAATGTTTTTGTTCCAAAATTTGAGCTGAAATCTCCGCCGTTGAGCAAAACTCTCTAAAAAAAGTTTTCTTCACTGCACAACACAATTTTTTGATAGATCCTTCTAACATTTTAAATTCTAATGGCTTCCGCAGTTAAGCAAAAAGTGCAATGTTTTGATAAATGTTTTAGAAAATTGTTTTTTCAATAGTTTTGAAGAAGTCTACTTGTGAAGAAAAGTCTACGTAGTTAATCATTCATGCTTTTATTGCTGATAAAACTAACCAAAAATTTATCAATAATTCATCGATGGATTATCGCTAATAAGTTGTGAGCCATGAACTATTTTGAAATAACTAGTTTTGCTAATTCGAATTGTCTGAGCGATCAGTCCATGGAATAACATTGAATAATACTTTCTGTGTTGTTGTTAAAGTTAAAATAATTGATAATAACCTCAAAAAAAGAAAAAAAAATCAAAATTTAAGAGTTTTTTGAAACTCGTCCACCCACACGCAAAGTGATGTAATTGCATTAAGCAAAGTATTAATTATACCAAGAAGCATACCTCGATCCAAATTGGAACTGTTTCTACTACGGAATAAAGTTTCTGTTACGCATTAATACCGCCAAATATATCGCGCGATAAGTGTCCCAAATTGGCCAAAACGGCAATTCTTAAACACCCAACCTTAAACAAATGATCACAGGTGAAATTTTTATTTTTGAATTTTGAGCTCAGAAAAACAACATTTTTTGAAAGATTCGTCATAAGTTGCTAGCTGAACAGTCTAAGTTTGTCTGGAAAAAAAACACCACACCGAGCA